ATTTTTTTATTTTTTGTCAGAACGGGCCAGCTGTTCAGGTCGAACGGTGGACCGTTCAAATCAGTAACCGGACCCCTGACCAGTTCGGTGTTAAAAACCATGGGACTTACCTTTTTTGCATGCATATATTTTGTTTGGGCTCTAATTAGGTTAAGCCCAATAAAATGACCTAAACCATATTAGAAACCACTACATAGAACAATACTTATTGGACTTTCCCACTATCCCACTATCTAGCTAGCTATGTTAGAACTTTCTACTATCAAGCTATTAGAATTGGATTGGTTTGGGCCAGTCTAATTCACTATCTTATTGGGTTGTCCAACCTGGACTGGATTGGACTAGTCCAATCCACTGTGTTATTGGATTGTCCAACTTAAGATTAGATTGGACTGGCCCAATTCATTGTCTTACTGCAATGTCCAACCTGTTCAACCTCGACCAGATTGGACTAGTCCAATTCAATGTCTTATTAGACTGTCCAATTTATTCAACTTGAACTGGATTAAACTGGTCCTATTCACTATCTTATTACACTGTCCAATCCATTCAACTTGGACTGGGTTGGACTGGTCCAATTCACTTTCTTGTTGGACTGTCCAGACTGTTCAAATTATGTCCAATTCACTAGAATAGGGGTATGGAATTGGAAGCGGAATGGGCCATTTTCATTCCAACTGTTCAGTTAGGTGGAATTGGAATCCCATTCCCATTCCTAGTGGAATGGTATTCCCTCATCCCTCTCCCCTTCCATTGGGAATGAAATTCCATTCCAGCTGATTCCAGTTCCGATTCTGACTATGAATCAAATGAACATTAACTCAACTAGGTAACTTATAATTTGGAAACCTTAACAGAAAATACATTATATGGGATATTGCAGAAGCTCTTGCATGATTTAAATAATGAAATTGGTGTTTGTAAGCAGCTCCCAAAAGAGGAAAAAATCCATTAATCTTTAGAGCATAACAAACATTAGAAAGAATGGTCATAGAATCTGGAATGAAATATTGTAAATCCTTTTAGGAGATAAAACACATAAAAGAACAAAATTAGATCCATCAAATGCTGGAAAAATAAAACCATCAAATACGGAAAAACCTTTTGCTTGTTCTAATAAAAGATTGGGCTCACCTTTTCAACGGGAAGAACTCCAAAAATGGAAGAAAATTATCTGTAATATATTGTTGGATAGAGAAGTACCACTGGAGAGAGAGAGAAGAGATTGTTTGCTAGAGAGAAGGGCAGCCAGAGAGTGAGAGCCTTCAACAAGGGTTTCAGATTTGAACTCTTGAGATTTCAAGCCTTCAAACAAGGGTTTCAGGTTTCAAACCTTGAAAGTTCGAACAAGGGTTTTATCGTTTTAGACTTCTAGGGTTTGATTCCTTATTCTCGATAGGAGCTTTTGTTTCTATTATCGGATATTTGGCTTAGGTCCAATTCAAATCGATACGAGTATAGTCCAATTTATTTTGGATTTGGTTCAATCCAATAAATATATTGGACTGTTCAAATCCGATTTGATTAGTTTTAGTTTGGATTGGATCCTGGTCCATTGACACCCCTAATTATCATGGGAAGATGTTCTCAATACACTATTGATATGTGCTGTGGGACACCCATGGGGTGTGCTCTATGGAGTGCATATGCCAATTCTTATTTTTCAAGTATAAATTCAAGTAAGTATTGGAATTTTTTGTTTAAAGAACATATTTTCATATGGAGATTTGATATCATTATTTTTTTTGGGTAATTGTGATTTGGTATCATTATAATATCTGTACTCCAAAACAAAAACATAGTTCAGAGGCCATGTTTCAATTTTTTGTTCACGAGACAGCTTTATGGTCAATTTGTAAAGAGCACAATACGAATAAGTACAATGCAAATATAAGGTTTAGGAATAAAAATAATGCAGAGTACAAGATTTTACAAACTGAGCCTTAAAAGCAAATGGAAACAAAACATTTATGTTTTAGAATGCTCCCCTTAATTTAATTCAATTCAATTCAGGGCCCGTTTGGTTTGAAGTAGGAATTGGAATTAGAATGGTCTATTTCCATAGTCTGTTTGGTTCAGACAGGAATGGAAATGAAAATTAAAATCAGGAATGAGATTTCATTCCCAATGGAGGGGTAGGGAATGGCCATTCCCTCAAATGGGGGGAATTCCATTCCAACAGGGATGAGAATGGGATTCCGGTTCCACCCCTATTCCTATGAACCAAACAGTTGGAATCGGAATAGCTCATTCCGGTTCCGATTCCAGACCCAGGGGCGGAGCTAGGATATTTTATTGAAGGGGGCCAAAACCTAGAAAACATAGATGGAGGGGGGGAATCTAAGAAACATGAACAAAGGGGCTAAAATATAAGTGAAACTTAAATAAATTTAAAGAGAATTTTGGAGGCATAAGGGGGGGGGGNCATGGCTCCCCTCCGCCACCCCTTGGCTCCGCCCCTATCCAGACCCCTATTCCTGCGAACCAAATGGGGCCTTAGTGTTTTTCTTCTTGTAGGTTCCAACAAATTAAAACCATATGGTTTTGGAGACAAATTCATTCTTAAAACAAAAACATGAAAAACATTTTCTTGGATATATTTTTGAATTTCTAGTTTGAAAAAGCATGTTTTTGTTTTAAATTATACAATATATCCTATTATTTTTCATGAATCATTTTGATGATTTCAAAAACATGAATTGCTTTTTGAAACAAAACCAACTTGTTTTTACTTCCTAAAAAAAACACAGTCCAAAAACAAGTTTCTGTTTACAAAGATATTCGCATTGTAGAACACCCCTTAAAATTGAAATTGGAAAACCAACAAAAGGCTAAAGATTTAGGTTGAGTCTTATAGAACCAACTTTCTTCCTTGTTTTATGCTCCCATGTGTAAATGAAATATATAAAAAAGGCCAAGCAATAAGAAAAATAGAATGCATTTATTTTGGATATTTTAAACAGAAAATATACAAATATACAATGTTATATGGTTTGCTCACTGTTTCTATGTTCTTGCGACTTTTTTCGGCTTGCCTTGCGTATTAGAATGCAGCTACCTGATTTTGGACCTCAAAGAGCCATACTTCATTTCAGATCACAATTAGTCAGCTACCCACATAAATGGAGTTTTTCCTTTTTTTTTTATCTGAAGCGGGATCTGCTCCTCACAAATGGGCGTCTCATAGGCACATCCACCGTGCATTGGGAATATCTCCAGTGAATAATAACTAATAAGTACAGAAGATGTTCCTAATGCATGATAGGATGTGTGTGTGCGACACCAGGTGTGAGGAGCAGATCCGGTCTCCTTTTATCTAGATATTGGATCTGCTCCTCACATATGGCGCCTCACACCGACCTCACATGCACATCCTACCATGCATTGGAAACATCTCCCGTACTTATACGTTATTATTTATGGGAGATGTTCCCAATGCATGGTGAGATGTGCATGTGAGGTCAAAGTGAGGCGCTCTGTCTGAAGAGCAGATCCCAATCCCTTTATCTATATGTTTTTTCTTCTTGGTCTGACTTGCGAGGCCACAATATAATCAGGCGAATGTGCAGGTTGACTAGGGCCACCAGGCCTGGGCAGCTTATATTGGTATTGCACTTCGCTTAGGTCTGGTCCATCATCCCTATGAGAATTTTTAGAATTTTCACTTAGACCCTTAAAGATGTTTTATTTATTTATTTTTGTTTTTTTGGGCTCAATAAAGATACTTAGTTATAAGGGTCTATTTGTTTTTTGGATTTTGAGAGGGGAAAATTAGTTAATGAGATTTTGGTTCCCATTGACTGAGATACATATATTCTTTTTTCATATTCATGTGTGGTCAATGGAAAATTTATTTTTCTTGCCTTGCCTAGGTGGAAAAGTAACTTTCCCATTTAGGAGGGTAAGGTGGGGGGGGAGTTGCCAACACTTGGATGGGACAAAATTGCCCCTTTTAATAATGGATTTTTATGACTAAAATGGTCAATAAATATCTTATTTCTCAGGAAACACTTGCCCGAATAAATAACTTCTTAAAAAACGAATGGGGCCTAAGTAGTACATTAGTAGGGGCGGACCATCAAATGTAAGCTTGACCCGGGTTTGGGCCTTGCTGGCTCTAGGTTTCTATGTCATGGATCGGCTTGCCCATTCAGAAGATGGACAGAAAATGAAGTCTTAATTCAACATTTAGAGCCCATAGACCTGGTCGGCTCCATATACATGGTGTATTATTGGAACTATGTTATTTTTGCTTGCCTATTTTTCAATTTGCATGTTCCTTTTATTATTGGGTAAATTAGAAATAGGTACTTTCTACTTTGGGAATAGTGACAGATAACTATCCTGAACTTTTAGTTGCAACACTTAAGTACCATAAACTCTTAGAAATAGACACTCGGGTCCACTGCTGTTAACTCATGTTACGATATATAGTAAAATTACTAAAATGCCCATATATATTTTTAAATTATTAGAATAAAAAAATTGAAAATGACCAAAACAAACCCAATTAAAAGTTGGATAATCATTGGTTTGGGCATCATTGTTGCTCATTCTGATCGCTGCAAAGAAGTAGAAGAGAGTTCAACAGAAAACACTTCGCTGATGAGGGTAGAGAGTGCCATCGCCAGGGAAGAATAGTTATTTGAATATGTTATTGCTACCCACTTGAGAATGTCATCGTGGGAGAAGAGCATCAACCCTTGCTGATGCCTGAGAAGAAAAAAGCAAGATGTTTCCCCCTTCTCATTTTATATATTTTTTTAATATGTTAGCTATCAATTGAATACGTATCTTGGTTTTCTAATCTCATTTCCGTGTTTCTCCTTTTCGTTGTATGGTTCGTTGACAACAAACCATAAGCAAAAACTAAATCACGTGAAGATATGTATTTAGTTTCAAATTGTTGACCACAAACCTTTCACATGGATTGTTTTTTTTTTTTTTTTTTGGGTAATAAACATATTCATTAAACCACGAAACCAAATTACAAACAAGATAAAAAGTCCCAACAAATGGGAGTAGAGAGCTTGATAGAGATAGCATTACAGGACTTACAGCAAGAAACAAAACCAGACTTGGCTGCCGCATGAGCTGCCAAATTCGTGTTCCTAGAGCACCAACAAAACCTGAAATTCCCTTGTCAGCAAGGATTTTGATGTCTTGGCAGCATAACACAATATTAGAAGGAGGATCAAAACTATTGGTGTTAAGAACTTTTACTAAACTGACATTGTCTGATTCAAAAATAACATTGGATAGATAATTTTGGTTTGCAAAATAGACAGCCTCCCATAATGCCTTTGCCTCGACAACAATAGGTGATGAAGCATTCTGAGGATCATAGCCAACACCCCAACACACTCCCCAATGATCTCTCAAAATGAAGCCGAAAGAAGCTTTATCTGGGTTCACAAAAATTGCATCACAATTCATCTTCAAGCAACCTTCTTCAGGAGGCACCCACAAAAAATCTGCATCCATCTTTTTAGAATTGTAAGAACCTTCCAATTTCTGCTACCATTGAAGAGATCTCTCCACTATTGACCCGCGAACGTTGGATAGAACAATAAAGGGATTCACATTTTCTTTTTCAAAATAGAATGAATTCTTGTCTTTCCATATTTTCCACAAACATCTCATTAAGTTATCCAACCAATCCACTTGACTATCCTCTAACACAAATATAATGAATTTAAACCAATCCTTGAAAGAATTAAAGTATTAAGTAGACTCAGGGTTAACCCCAAGCCCTAAACTTAGCCAGATGCATCTTGCTTTCTAACAAAGTAGAAGGGCATGCTGAGTGGATTCAACCTCTCTTCCACATCTATCACAGATGTTCAACTCACACAAGCCTCTTCTCATAATACTTTCCTTAACTGCTAATCCACCTACACAACACTTCCACAAAAAGTGCTTGATTTTGGGTTTGATTGGAAGACTTCAAATCACACTCCACAAGCTCTTGTCATCACTTTGATCATTTCAAGTTGGGATATTATTTTCTTGAAGATTTTTGGCAATAAAATAAGTTGACTTTATTACAAAGAACTTGCCGTTTTTGGTTCCTATCCAAACTAGCTTATCAGGCCAAGAATTAATAGGGATCTCTATCTCCATGATTTTTTTGAGCAACAGGCCTAGTAAACAAAGAGTTTATTTCACTTTCATCCCAGGATCTATTTATTTGATTAATTAGATTAGACACTTTTAACTCCAGAGTATTATCTGTTCTAGGTCCTATTAGTTTATTTCCTTCTAGACCAGGTATCCAGGGGTCATCCCATATGCTCACATTTGATTCCTCACCAATTTTCCAGCATATGCCATTTTCTATGACATTTCTCCCTGCCAGGATGCTTCTCCAACCCAAAGAAGGTCTACTCTTCAAAGATGCTTTGAAGAATAGGGAGTCTTGGAAATATCTTGCTTTTAGGAGTCTAGTCCAAAGACTGGATGTTTCATGGCATAGTCTCCAAGCTGGGCCAGGTTGAAAGCATGAGAATCTCTAAAGCCCAGCCTCCCATTAGACATGTTTTTACTTATTTGGTCCCACCTAACCCATCTTATTTTTTTTCCTGCCTTCACTATCCCCACCAAAAATCTTTTTGACTTTTTTCCTTAGAATTACAAATTTCCTTAGGAATAAAAAAACAGGACATACAATAGGCCGAAATAGTAGGGAGAACAGATTTAATAAGACCTCCTTCCTAGCTTGGGAAAGTAAGGAACCCCTCCAACTTTTAGCTCTGCTAGCAACCCTCTCAGCTAAATATTCAAAAGATTGAGACTTCTTCCTCTCAATGAAGGGGTGGGTTCCTAGGTAAATGGAAGGAATTTCCACTTTCTTAATATGCAAACATTTTGTTAGCATCATTTTAAATTTGGGGTGTAAATTCTTGCTAAAATAACCTTTGACTTTTGGTAGTTAACCTTTTGACTAGAAGCTCTTTCATAGAGTGAAATGGCCTCCAAAATAGAATTTGCCTCTTTGAGATCAACTTTTGTGAAAAGATAGTTGTCATCTGCAAAAAAGAGGTGAGAGATAGTTGGAGCACTTCTGCAAATTTTGATTCCTGATAGTTCCTTTCTATCCATTCTTTTGCTTAAGATTGTTGATAGGGGATCACCTTCCCTTAAACCTCTTTGAGGAAAAATTCTTCTTGAGGGAGAGCCATTTACTAGGACTTAATATGACACAGTTGACACACAGGTCATAAGCCAAGAGACCCTCTTACTACCAAACCCATTTTTTCCATAGTGGATTTCAGAAACACCCATTCCACCCTATCATAGGCCTTACTCATGTCTAACTTAATTGATTGCCATATAGCCACTCCTGGCTTTGGTGTTAGACATGTAGTGCAAATTTTCATGTGCTATTAAGATATTATCTGAGATGGCTCTGTCCGGGAGGAAAGCACTTTGGTTTTATACACAGTATTACACAAGCTAATTGGCCTAAATTGAGATGTATCTTTAGGATTCTTTACTTTAGGGATTAAAGCAATAAAAGTGGAATTTAAAGACTTGTCCATCCTCCCCTCATTGAAGAAGATGCTTACTTCTCTCACCACATCCTCTCTAGTAACCTCCTAGAATTTTTGAAAAAAGAGGTTAGGAAAGCCATCCGATCTCGGAGATTTTTTGGGAGCCATTTGGAACAGAGCATTTTTTATTTCTTCTTCAGTGACCTGCTTCTGAAGATCTTCATTCATTTCATCACTGATTAGGCTCAATTCTTTCAAGAGCTAGAGGAATTTCAGAGGGGTTGGAGGTGGAGAAAATGTTACTGAAATGATTTACTAAAATATTATTTATTTGCTCTTGACCCTCCTTCCACTCATCATTCACATCTTTTAATTTTAGAGTTTTGTTTTTTGCCCTTCTTCTAATAGTGGAGTTGTGGAAGAACTTTGTGTTCCTGTCCCCATAATTTAGCCAATTGACCCTAGACTTTTGGGTCCATAAAATTTCTTCCCTTTTTAGCCAACTATCAAGATCAGCTTCAATTTCATTTATTCTTCCCTGATTGTAATATGACTCCTCCTTCCTCTGTTCAGAAATCCAACTCTTGCTTAAGTTTTTCTATCCACTCCCGTACCAAGTCTTCCTAGTTCCATTGTTTTTAAAGATTTTTTTTTTAAATTTTCACACTTTTTTGTAATAGAACTAGGGATGGGATGAATTTTTTCATTCCGGGTGTTTTTAATTAAGTCCTCACACTTATCATGGGAGAGCCACATTTCTTCAAACCTAAAGGTTTTCCTAATTTTGAAACTTATAGGGTTAGTATCTAGACAGATAGGAAGATGATATGATCCGTGGGTTGAGACAACTATGACATTTGCATTCGGGAATAGAGATTTCCATTCCTGATTGCCAAGTCCTCTGTATAGTTTGACTTTTATGTGATTACCTTGATCCCTTCATTTGTCTACGTATACTTAGGTCCAGAGCTAGGAATTTCTTCTAACCCCCACCCTCTTAGGAACCCCCTATTCTTTTTTACCTCCTTGTCTCCCACTTTATCATCCAAAATAAAAATCATGTTAAAATCCCCAACATAGCACCAAGCCCCCATTGAAATGGTGGCTAATTGATTTAACTTCCCCACAAAGGACAACCTTTTACTTTTCTCAGGTTCCCCATACACAAGCATACACCACCACAAATTCTCATTGTTACCATCAACAATTTTGGTGTGAATTATACTTTTATCAGTGGCAATCACTTGGAGGTTTAAATCTTTTTCCCCAAAAGTGCTAAACCTCCTGATAAACCCCTCGAATCAACACCCTAGCAGTTTCAATCCCAAAGGCATCGGACTTTCTTCCTACAATTTATGACATTACACTTGGTCTCGCTAAAGAAAATCACCTATACTTTTATTCTCCTTAGGGCCTCTTTCGCTGCACGAACTGTCAAGGGGGAGCCTAACCCTTGACAATTCCAATAGAAGGCTCTCATGACCACACTGGGAGTTGTATAGGGACAACTCCCGTAAGCCCTCTTAGATATGGTTGATAAGTTCTGCAATTAGACTTTTCAGGTAACAACCCGCAAATTGCTTCCCCTATTACCATTGTAGATGACCAAGCCTTTTTTTAATCCCAAACTTTGGCACAATGTCATTCTACTAGATATCCCCACCCTCTTGAAATCCTTTGTACTCACTCCCCAAGTTTGAAGTTTGTTCCATCTTTTAAAATTGGACAACCCCTTTTCTTTGATTTCTAATTCGACTCTTACCAGCCAATGTTTCGACCACAACCCCTGAAGCTTATTAACTGAAAGTTTAGCAACGCTATACTTCAAGTTCATTCACCAAATTATTCTTAATTTTTTCCTTTTTTTTCATATTCCACCCTCTCCTTTTTGATTTCCAATAACGACTTCTCAAGTTTTTAACAACATGAATAATTCCAAACTTCTTGCCCATCAATTTTACATTAACATGGTAATAGTCATTAGCAGGATCTTTTAAATCCGCATGACCTGGCATATCAGTATTACTTACAAAAGACAAGAAACTAATAGTATTTGGCGAGGGACCAAACATTCTATCAACAAAAAGGTTAGGGTTTAGGCATACTTGATCTGACGCTAGCGAGCTCAACTGGATTGCCTTTGTTGGGGACTGACCTAAGTCATTGTTGAAGAACTTGAGAACGACCTTTTCTATTCCATCAAGGTTGTCTTCATCTCCGATCCCCAACCTTTTTTGCTTTTGTCTGGGTTGCAGAGGCCTCTTGTAACTCAACAAATGGTTCCCTTCCTCTCTTCACAGTCATAGATTTTCCGACCTCAAAAGCTCTTAATGGAGTGTTATAAATCCTCGGGTTCAGGTCTGTGTTAGTTCCCATGGGCACTATCATTAAACCCGGATTCGAACCTGTATATTACCCTATTCTTCACCTTGGTTTGCTCCCTTCAAATTATCTGTCGAGGCTTCTGACTCATCATCGGAGGAATTTCTGGATTTGGAGGACTGGCAGACCTCTGGAAACTTTGGTCTATCGAAGCTGCTCTCTGTTTCTGGTAAAGCGTGTCATGCAAGCTTGGAGTTTCCTTTCTCATGATTCATTGAGAGTACCTCCGAGATAGTGCTTCTTACTCTATATCCTGGAAAAGTAAATCGGTGTTGACTGTCATTGGGGTCTCTATCACTCCATTTGTCTTGAATTTGGATGAGATGGAGACAAAATCGTACACACTAGGCTGAGTTACCTATCACGATTGAACATGCCAATGTTAGTGAGCACCAGCATGTTCACTCATGATAGGTAGCCCAGCTCGGTGTGTATAATGCTGTTTCCAGCTAATCCACTCAAGAAAGTCAGAATGAGCTGGACAAAATTGTACACATCGGGTTGAGCTACCTATCACAGTTGAACATGCTAGTGATCAATATAGATGGGGCCTATAGTGAGCACTAGCATGTTCACTCGTGATAGGTAGCCTAGCTTGGTGTGTATAATGTTGTTTGCTAATTCACTCAAAGAGAGTTTGGATGAGCTGGAGACAAAATTGTACACACCGGGTTGAGCTACCTATCACGGTTGAACACGCCAGTGATCAATACCGATGGAGCCCACAGTGAGCACTAGCATGTTCACTCGTGATAGGTAACCCAACCCGGTGTGTATGATGTTGTCTCTACTTAATCCACTCAAGAGAGTTTGGATGAGCTGAAAACAAAATTGTACACACTAGGTTGAGCTATCTATCACGGTTGAACACACTAGTGTTTAGTACAGATGGGGCCCACAGTTGGCTGTTTGAAAAAAAAAAGCCTACATTGGTGAGAGACGTGTTGTCACATCATATATATGAGAGATACTTCAGTTAGAATGATTAGGCTTCACCCACATGGAGCAAGAAATATCAATTTTATTTCCATAAACAACATTTCACACGTATTTTTAAGGTATGCTGTTTAATTATGAACAATCTCAAATAACAGTTTGTATGCGAATTTGTATTGATCAGCCTTCAACTCAAAACGTTTCAAGTAGAAAAAGCAATGGATCCAAGCCAACCAAAGTCCTAGTTTTATTGGGGCAAACTTCATAAGCACTTAATTGGGCTAGTTTTGGGTCTATTGGTTACAGATAATAACCTATAATAGGGCATTGGTCAGGGAGAGGCGATGCACTGGGAATATCGATACACCTGATGCACTGGGAGAGGCGTTTTGGGCAATATTGATAGTTTTTTTCTTTTTTTTTTAGATCCAATTCAGAGAGGCCGGTTTAAGGTCTGTCCATTCCTAAGCCAGTCAAAACCCCAATACATCCTTTGTAGGGGCATATCGGGAAGCTCCCAATAAGATACTTATCGGCCGATACAGGATAATACGTATTGATACTTTGAATCTTGGGGTCTACATATTTTCTATTTTCTGATTAGTTTGAACTGACCCCGAGTTTACCCTAACCCATTATTGTTATCATTGCTTCTACTTAATCCTGAGCTGTACTCGGATGGATGAATAGTGAAGAATTAACAGCATATGTTGGGTTGAGAATGAAAGGTTTTACAGACCTGACCCAGCCCACTTGCCCATGTGCTTCCTCCTTTTCGTTTTTGGGCAAAAGATGATTTAATTTCATGGCCCAAGGCAACGAAGAAACTCACATCATATGAGACAGTCAGACTTATCAAAGCAGATACCAAGATTAATCCACTCATCCCATGAGCTTACACCTCATTCTTTGCCTTTTAATTTCTTTAGATAATCTGAAACGAGTATGTATCAATTGGTATGGGTACTCAGTCAATCAGCCGATACAGCATAACCTTCCCATTAGCCATGTGATGGGCAAATTTTCTCTCAGCCTCCTATTTTCACATTTATGCGCGTAATAAGGAACTCCGGAAACATCATAGAAATGGGCAAACTTCTTTCTGTTGGTTACGCTATATCAATTTCAACTATGTTGTGTGCCTTTAGTCCAAACCTAAAGCAACAAAGTTAATCCAGATCTAAATTTTCTAAACCGAAAAATGTCATTTTCGTTGAATCTTCACGAGTTAACTGCTAATAGAAAAATTTTGGGCATGACGTTTCAATCAATATATTACTACGGCCTTTTATATTAATATAAAATTTTGGTTTTAATCTTACGTTAGCATGTGAAAAATGACTCCAATCTATTCTATATATAGAACATAATTTTCCATGTCAACATCCCCTCTCAATCCTTTCTCACTATTTTACTACTTTTACAAAAGAATTTATTAATAAAAAGTTAGAATGTAATTTTAAAAATAATTTGTGAAAAACAAATACACTTAAGAAACTGGCCATTCTCACTAGGGGTTTAATTTGGATTCTGATTAAATTGACTAGATATAACCCATAAGTAATGCTTGGATTGGACTAATATTGATTTGACTCAATTAGAAACATAATAAGGGTCTTTTTATTTCAATTTCACTTAACAAAGCCCGTATATCGTATGTATCCTGGCTAGTGTTTCTCAAGCCGATCAAAGTCTAAATACTAGTCATGACCCATGCGATGTACGTGTTTTATTTATAGGAAAAATTGAGGACAGAGCTCTATGACATTTCCATTTAAGCAGTACCCATCTAAGTCCAATTCAAGTATTATTTTTTGGGTAATGTCTAGTTTCTCCGATTACAATCTAAGTTGCAGTTTAGTAAGAGTGGCCAATCTCCTATACTTTAGATAAATGTGTATTATTTTTTTATCATAATGTTGACTTTTTATTAATTTTTATTGGGTTGTTATTTTCATATTATTTTTAGGTAAAATTATAAAAAAACCTCCTCTTATATTTATAACCCACCTTTATGTTTCAACCCTAACAAAGGCTTTTTCTATAGTTTTGAAAAAAAGTGCAAATACCTCATTTCCCTTGGCATTCCAGTAACAAAGACATCTGAGTTAGAAAAATGCCCTTATCATTGTTAAGGCATTACTGTACCCTCCATTAATTTATTTTGCTAGACAACTTTTAAAGAGTAATTCTCCCTACTCTTGTTGGATGAAATAAGATAAAAGGCTGAAGTGAAGTAAAAAGAAAGAATTACTTTCAATGTATTGTAGTAAATTTACATGTGAATGAAGTTGACTAAGGGTAAATTTGGTATTTTAAAAATTATTGCATTACATCAACATTTTTTTTGTTCAGAATGCTAATGAAAGGAAGGCATTTGCAACTTTTTCCAAAACAACAGGGGAGGTTTTTGTTAAGCTCAAAACGTGGGGGAGTTTCATAGGGATGTTAAAAAATCTAATGAGGTTTTTATAATTTTCCGTATTTTTAAATTGATTTTAAATTAATTAAACTACATTTAAAATTAATATTTTTTTATTAATTTTTGTTTCTATTAATACTTATTAAATTTCATTAACTATATTAAGTTTTTAATTGGAACTTAAGTTGGTTTTGAATTAGTAAAATTAATTATAAAACTAATAATTGTTAGATAGTTTTGTATTAGTTCTATATTAATTTTAAATTGATATTAGTTTTTAATTTATCTTATTCATTTTGTTAATTAAATTATTTTTATTATACTAATCAAAATATTTTTATCAATAACAATATTTAATAATTATTTTATTTTATTTAAGTAGCTTACTAAATTATTTTTACTATGATTAATTAATTTTTATTATTTTCAATTGGAATATAAATGAATTATAATTTTTATGATGTTTTATTCAATATTCTCAACCTGCCATTGACTTAGACAGTTGAACCATTCAAACCATCACTTAATCTTATTTATAATTATGGATTTCCTAAAATCTTTCCTATTTGACTTGTGTGGTTGAACTATTGACCCTTTTGATCCAGCCACTAAGTTACAGGTTACCAAATATAATCTTTTGAAAACTTTTGGAAGATTTAACTATATGCTCAATTGTTTGATTGGGGATGATCTATTTTTTTGGATAACTTTGCATGATTTTTGTAGCCCCACTATACAAAAAAACCTCAATTGTTGGCCTCAATTTTCAAATTTTGTCTCTTATATTTATAAAAAAAAATAAAAAACAAATAGACCTTATATCCTACATATATAGATGAATGGTGTGTCATGGTTTGACTCGTTTAACCCGTACAGTTGAAGGAGAGAGTTAATGGCCTAATTAATGAGGAGATATAATAAAGGGAAAATTCCCAATCAGTATCTTATACTTTGGCTCGAGTGACTTGAACTTTAAAATGCAACAATCTAGTACCTACTATTAATGGACTTTTAGTTATGTATATTGCATGACCTCATGTGCAATTTAAAATTTTTAAAAATGTCAAAATTACCCTTGAAAATAAAGCACACTATTCATCATCTTCTTCTCCAAAAAGATAAAATAGAGCCCAAGCTCTTTGTCACAAACACCACAACCGCGATCTTTTCTCATAGACCCACTCATTGGATGGTTGGAATTGCTCAAGATCATTCATGTTTTCTTTTTTTTAATATTCTAATGAGAATTGTGTCGAGTACAATAAAACTACTAAAGATGAAGTATGAAGGGGAGAAAACAAAATACAAGAGGAAAGAAAGGGAGGAAAAATCAGCGAGCCTCAAGTTTCTTTGGATTTCCCCCCAGAGAGGAGCCATTGGAGCTGTTTGCTGGTGATGGGCGATGATAAATCATCTATTGCAATGGCGAGTAGAGACAGAGATCGAGATCTTCTCATACTAGTTGCCGATGCTGTTGACGATGACGCCTCTTCCAAGCCTTCTTTGTCATCTGCTGCACCGTCTCATCATTCCGGAAGAGAGGTCATCTGTTTCTCTCCCTTCCTAGCAATTCCTTTTGTTGCTGGATTTGTCTTGTTTATTTGGTGGTGACTCGTGCTAACTTTTTTCCCCCTTTAGTTTGATTTGTTCTTTTTGGGACCTTATTACTTGATTGGATTTGTTTTTTAGAAACCCATTTACCTTTTTTAGGTTTTTGCTCCTTGTAATGAGACGCGCCTTATTTTTCGATTGGGTTTCCGTAGAAACCTCTGTTTGGTTCCAGAGTTCTATTGATAGTGGGAGAAGGAGGAGATGATCTGGTTTTCCTTGCATATGCATTCTCTCTCCTCTCCAAGAAGTAAGAATGAAAAAACGAAATGAAAAGAAACTGGAAGGCTCTTGTTCCTCTCTCTCTCTCGACACTGCAGAAGGAAAGGAATAGAGAAAGGTAAAGGAGTATTCCAGTAACTGTGAGCTTTGGGTAGAGCTACGGAGCTATAAAGATTGATAACCAGTACCAGAAAGAATCCAAACGTACAAGTTATTTGATTGATTATCTCTCAGACGAAAACATTAAAAGGATGAAAATTTTGAGGCTGATTCTGATTTTAGAGGATAGAGGATGATTGATAAAGAAAATTAGATAATATTTGAAAGATATTTGTATTTTTTTACATGTCATTTCGCATTTTTAAGGTTGAGATACTGAACTATTGTATTTTAAATTTCGGGGACCATATTGTTACTCGAGCCAAAATACGGGCTATAGATCGGAAGAATTAATGGTAAATTAATGAAGAGAATTAAAAGTCTTAAAAATGATTTTATTTTATTCAATTTTAAAATTAAAAAAAATTCTGAAAAAAGTTAAAAACCAGGAAAGAACGAAGTTGACAAATTCGATATGAATTTCTTCTTTATAACGAAAGCAATTGTTTTCTCTGTAATAAATATTTCTTTCTTTAAAACATTCACTTGCTTTCCATCTAACCAAAACTGTGATAATTTGTCACCATGCGGCAATGCGTGACATAACCATACGTGTTTTCAGCCCACCAACAAGTGTCGGCCCAGCCCAACATGCAACGTCTGAATCGGTTGACCTAAGAGTCACCCGTCCTTGTTTTAAGGGATTATGGGATTATGGTTAAAGTTACCTTTTATTCGTTAAGTAGGGATTTTCATAGATGCAAGACATAGTACTCTGGACATAAAACACATTACCCTGTTGCTTCTCTCTAGTTAAGACTTAGGCTGTGTTTGGTTTGAAGGAAAAAGTAAAGAAAGAAAGGAGAAATATAGGGAAATCTTTATAAACTTTATAAAGATTTTTCTATGTTATGTCTCTTCCTTTTCTTATCTTTTTCTTCAAACCAAACACCGGTGCCATGGTGCCATTGTTTGTAATTGTAAGGTGTTCTTGGATTTGAGGACCCATAAAATGTTATAGAGAGCCAATCAACCCTTTGATTTATTGACTGTGACGTCAGTAAGTCAGTATAGATATGCGTAGGAGTAGCGATGTCTGTGGATTGGGTCGGGTTTAGGTTGAGCTGACTCAAATTTCAGTGTTTCATTTCATTTAGGCCTGACTACTGAGGAGAGTAGGCAGATTGATGATGAAAAGTGAAAACCTAGCTACCCATCGTTTTATCTCCCACGTGAATTGGCACGTGCCTAGCCCACTCTATTTTTTTTTTTTTTTGTCTTATTTAAACCTGCTACGGTGCCACCCCTTCAGAGAAATCACATAAACAGAACCACTTTAAAAGTTGCCCACGCCATCATCCCTTCTTGGCTTCTTTCAAGTTCAAGCAAGCGTGTTTTTCTACATCCTAATCACCACGCGGCCGCTAGCCCGACTGCGTCTCCGCTCAATTATAAAAAAGGCAAATTTCTTAAATTACTTTTATAGTTTAGTTAATTCACCTCTACTCTTCTTCTTCTTCTTCTGTTATAAATCAAACACCCAGAAGAACCAGAAGCATTTGTTTCTCTGTCTGAGTCACCTCATCACTCCCCGCTCTCCATGGCTGATGCTAAACAACCCCACTTGAACGGCGCCTACTACGGCCCTCCCATCCCTCCCCCACGGTCGTACCACAGGCCGGGCCGCCGCAGTGGCTGCGGTTGCGGCTGCTGCCTACTCAACCTCTTGTTCAAGCTCATAGTCACCATCCTGGTCATCATCGCCATCCTCGCCCTCGTCTTCTGGCTCGTCTTTCGCCCCAACAAGGTCAAATTCCATGTCGTTAACGCTTCCCTCACCAACTTCAGTCTCGCCGGCAACACTCTTAGCTACAACCTTGCACTCAACATGACCATCAGGAACCCAAACAAGCATATCGCTATCTACTACGACAGCATCGAAGCTAGGGCCTACTACGATGGTGTGCAGTTCGGCACGGACACTCTGGAACCTTTCTACCAACGCCACAAGACCACTTCCTTCCTCAATCCTCTCTTCCGAGGCCCATCGCCACTGGTTCTCGGAAGCTCCGAACTTGCTCAATTCAATAGTGACAAGGCTGCGGGATCTTTCAGTATTGATGTCAAGCTCTATCTTCGGGTCAGGTTCAAGCTTAGATCGATCAAGACTAATAAGTTCAAGCCGAAGATCAAGTGCGACCTGAAGGTTCCTTTGGTTTCTCGTCGCAGCTCGGCCGCTGGGTTTGAGACCACGAGATGCGATATAGATTACTGATCGTCAGAGTTCAGGGATCTTTGTTTTTTCCCGCCTGTGTAGTGTGTACCATCCATCTATTTCATTTCTGATCATTTGTTGATTTCTTTTTTTACTTTGGTTTTCGTTGGTCACATATATCGGCTGCCATGTTCTTTCCTTGGTAGCACATAGGTTGATACTGGTTACATTTTTGGTGATTGATTTTGTGATACCATATAAACTACTGTATGTGAATAAATAAATGATAATATGATGGGGGGTTTTGATTTTTATAGTAGAAGTTATGGTTGTGTAGCCTCCTTGCTCCTCACTCCACATGAAAAGTCTTTGCATTAATTTGAAGTCAATGGTTTTGTTGAGTATAGACTGGTTCATCAACTCCTAAATCCTCTAATTAATACTGAAGCGAAAAAAACAAATCCTCTAATTAATAATTAAGTTGGGTTTGTTGAGATGGAGTGGGTGGGGTGCTTTGTTTGACTATAAGGGTTTCTAGTTTCTACTATTTGTAATGTAGGTATTTTTACACCTTGATGTCATCGGTTTCCCATACTGATATATCTGAGGATTCAGGCAAGCGGAGAGATTTGGGGTGGGTTAAAGGGGAAGGAATTCAGGCAAGTGAAGAGAATTTAATTGTTTTTGAAATCCACACTGAGGTTAATAAAAAGACGTGGTCGGGAGGGGACAGAAAATTTTCTATCCCTAGGGCAGTATGGGACATCTATATATATATTTATAAACTGGTCCTGCCATGTCAGCATAAGCTCTTCTTGCACGAAACCCCCTTCCTAATTTTCTATTTTTTGAATTTTTTATTTCTTTTAGTTATACATAATTATCCATTAAACTAATAAGTAAATCACATATACCTAACTATTTCTAACAACCATAAAGCTTTTCTAATGTTTAGCCGCCACTTTCCCCCACTTCCTCCTAAATTGTCTCTAATTCCTATTTATCTCTTAAATTATCTCGAACTCCTATTTATCTCTTAAATTATCTCTAATTTAGTAGAGAGATTCTCTCCTAAACTATCTCTAAATCCTATTTATTCTCTCCCCCACTTTTTATCTATATCTATCTATCTAAAGAAAGTTTCAATTAAAAAAAGATTTAATAATATTCATATTATTAATAATTCAATGAAATTATGTACAAACAATAAAAATTATAATTTTACGAATTATTCAGTTTAAATGTTATTCAACTAATAAGAATTTAACATTAAAAAATAAAACAATATTTAAATATTTCAATAACTAAAAATCTTAGATAAAAAACATTAAAAATATCTAAATAATATAACAAAATATTTAATATTATGTAATAACATTAAAACAAATAAAATTCAAATAACGATTTTTTTAAATATTTTACATATTATTTAAATATTTAAATAACAAAATATTTAACATGAAAAAATTTTCAATAGTTAAAATAATGAAATTATGTAATAAATTTAAAAAAATCTTAAAAGTAGAAAAATAATTATAATAGAATTCATAATATTCATATTAATAATAATTTAATATTATACAAAATTAATAATGATTTATGTAATAATAGTACAATTATAATTTTATGGATTATTAAATTCAATAAATAATTAATATTTTAAGAACTTAAATAACAATATTATTTAAATAAGTAACTAATATTGTAAATAACTAATTTCAATTATATAAATTAATACTTATAGAAAATAACTATCAACAAAATTATATTATTAGTAATAATTTTACAATAATAGTGTATATTCATTATATATTTATATTTACTACAATTAATATTTATTTTATTTTTAGTAATTATTTATTGCTTTTAATAAATATGCTTTCATTAATTATTTTTAAATGTATTTTTATTTTGTTATTTAATAGAAAATTATCAATAATTATTGGAGATTAAAAAATTATTATTTAACTTTTGAAATTTAATTTATCTTACTTATTATATTTTTGTTATAAATTTATTTTTAGTAATTATATATATTTTTTTAATTTATAGATTAATACTTATTAGAGATTAAAATATTATTTAAGATTACACTATTTATTAACTAATTTAGTATATTTTCAGTATTTATTATATTTTTATAATTATTGTATTTTTATTATATATATATTATATTTTCATTATATACTAATTTTCAATGATTGTGTACGTTTGCTATAAATTTTCAATAATTATTGGAGATTAAACTATTGTTATTTATTAKAKATTAGACTATAAATTTAGTTGGAATTAGGAGTGTTCAATGATTGGTTCAGTTCAGTTGCAGGCTGTTTCGCCAACCAAATCGATCTGGTCAAGTCCACAGTTTGTCACTCGAAACTGATTTACCATTAGCGAAAACCCAACAACTCAGGTTGTATCGATTTGGGTCTATTTTAGGTTTAGCTTGTTTGTTCAAAACATTTAAACTTAAAAAGTTAACTTTAAATTTCATAAATTACAATGATATTATTAAAAAATAAATTACAAAAATTAAATCTATGATATAAAATATTTTAGACTAACTTTAAATTTAATTATATTTTAGGTTTAGACCCAAATCGATATTATTACAATGATATTATTAAAAAGTAAATTACAAAAATTAAATCTATGATATAAAATATTTTAGACTAACAAATAGGGGAATTTTCCTACTTTCCCGTATTAAAAAAATTAAATTTAAAATATAAAATATTAATATAAATTTATTAAACCAAAGCCGATCTGAAATACTAGAAAATCGACTAACTCAGGTTGAGTTTGATCGGATTGTTTGTTAAAAATTTCAAATATAAAACAATTACTAGTACCCGTGCAATGCATGGGAAAAATCTGAAAGATTTATTAATTTTATTTTTCATTTAATGTTGATTTATAAAAAATAATAATTGTTAATTGAATATGAATAAATATTTTTTAATAAATTTAGTTTTATTAATAATTTGTAGTAATTTTAATAATTTTTATTCTTTTATTATTTTTAAATGAAATTTTGATTACTTTTAAAATAAATATAAATAATTATAAAAGCTAACATCTTTATTAATTCCACTAATAATTAACAATTATATAGGAATGACAAAAGGGTGGATTCAAGGTAAGGCACCCCATTCCCGCCCCATCCCCAATGTTACGCGGGTTCAGGGCAAGGTAACCACTCCTTAATGTCGTGCAAGTTCAGGGGCAAGGCACCACACTCGTCATCAAGGATAGAGAATCCTCGAATTTCCCTGCCTTGTCCCCAGTATTGGGCGAGTTCAAGTAAAGGTGTAAATTGGGTCGTGCTGGGTTGGCACGACACGACTTGACCCACATGTGGCCCGCACAAAGTGCGAGTCATGTCGTGCTGGCTCGTTAGGTGTCTCGGGCCGTGCCTCCCTCTTCTAGGATAATTTGGGGGTTGGTTCGGCCGGCCCACGACCTACGGTTCGGCATGACCCATAGCTCAAATATAAAACAATTATATACTCTTATGTATTTCTATTGTTTAACTTTCTCTTAACAAAGCATGGTCCCCGTCAACATGCCTCTCCTTCCTCCATTATCCCCACCTTGCATTCTCTTTGACTTTCTCTCCTCTCCCCTTCCCACCACTCCCATTAAGTCATGTCACCCAACTACCTAAAAATATTCCTATAATCTCTCTCATAAGATATCTCATTTAAACTAATAGGAAAGTATCATGTTGCCCCACTCCCAAATGAATTCCTAAAATGTATCCCCCAATCTATATCCACTCTCCCTCATTTAAAATATTCATATTAATTAATRAATARTTAWATAYRGTTAATATTTAATCCCACCCATATTCAATGAGTATTAAATAGTGTTATTACCAAAAGTTAATAAATACACTTAGTAAATGACCAAAAAATTAATAAATATTGTTATTAATTAACTCAATAACAACATTTTATAGAAATTGAAAACTCTTTAACTAATTCCTATAAAATTGAGAATTATATTTAACAATTATCAAAAAGTATAAATTTTTAATTATTGTTATTATTATAATTAATAACCAAATACAAATGGGGGAACACAATATTATAATGTTAGAAAATGAAACTATTAATTAATTTATATAAAAAAATAAAAGATAAATTAGTGTAATTTTGTTAGTAAACTACCAAATAAAAATATATATTTAATAACAATTAAAAAATTTTAATAAATCCCCATAGTTACACAAATGTAATAAATTTTTCAAAAATTTTCATAAAACTATATTTTCATAAAATAATATTTTTGAAATTAAAATATATAAAGTATTTGAAAGTTCATTTAAAATGCATTAAATAATTACTGAAAATTATTAGAATATTTTGGAAATTTATTACCTTTGATAGATTTTGGAAAATCATTGAAAAATTATGTAATTTTCATTGAAAATTATTAAAGATAAATGACTATGGGAAATGAAAAACTATAATTTGAACAAATAATTACACAAATTATTAAGATAAATTAGTATAATATTGGAAAAAGGAAATTATTGGTTAGTTTATATTAGAAATTATAAGATACATTAGTATAATTCTGTAAGTAAACCATTTAAAAGGAAAATAAATTATTTAATATAAATTTAAATAAATTTGAATAAATTTCCGAAATTACACGAGTACAATAAATTTTCAAAATTTTCATAAAACTACATTTTTGAATATTACAGACAATTTAGTGTACTTTTAGAAATTTACTATGTGGTTGATACTCAATATATCATTTTGATCATTTCTATTATCAAATTGAATATTGAGTTGACAGGGACAGTGTTTTCAAATCTAGATCAAACCAGATGGTTAGACCATAAAATTGGGAACCAAACATTGTTTCTCCTCAAAACCTCTTTTTGTCCAAAAACCGTTTATTTGGTTAGCGAACCACTGACCTGGGCGGGCGAAACGTCAACCCAAACAACCGTTTTTGGCCTTTTTTGTTTTTCTATCTTTTTTTATTTTTTTTGTTAGAGGTCATCCGTTCCCTATCCGGTCCAATTTTAAAAACCGTGGATGGGGAGTGGGTGCCTTGCCTTGAGATTGGCTTGGGGTGCGGCATGGCTTGGCCCATGGACCAGCTTGACCCACAGCATGGCACGGGCTCGAGCCATGGGCCGTGCTGAACCAACCCCCCAAATTATCCTATAGGAGGGAGGAATGGCCCGGGACACCTCGTGGGCCAACACGACACAACTTGCACTCTGTACAGGCCACATGTGGGTCATGTCGTGCCGACCCAGCACAACCCAATTTACACCTCTACTTGAACCTGCTCAATACTAGGGACGGGGTAGGGAAATTCGAGGATTCTCCATCGTTGATGAGGAGTGTGGTGCTTTGCCCCTGAACTCGCTCGACATTGAGGAGTGGTTACCTTGCCCTGAATTCGCATGACACTGGGGACGGGGTGGGGGTGGGGGTGGGGTGCCCTGCCCTGAATCAACCCCGCTGTCATTCTTATATAATTGTTAATTATTAGTGGAATTAATAAACATATTAGCTTTTATAATTATTTTTATTTATTTTAAAAGTAATCAAAATTTCATCTAAAAATAATAAAAGAATATGTTATTAAAATTACTAAAAATTATTAATAAAACTAAATTTATTAAAAATATTTATTCATATTCAATTAACAATTATTTTTTTTATAAATCAACATTAAATGAAAAATAAATTTATTAAATCTTTTAGATTTTTCCCGTGAATTGCACGGGTCCTTGCTAGTTGGAAAACTACAAATCTGATTCAAGCCAGAGATAATATATCCTTAGCATTCACATCAATGGCTCAACTTCGCAGGACCATCTCCTTTGGATGGCTTCCAACAACGGTTCCTTTACAATTAAATTGGCCTACTCTGTCCTCCTACAAAATGACAGAAGGGAGGAAATAGGCGGAATCAAATGGTCAAAAATCTGGACCAACAAAGCCCCGCACAGATGCCAACTGTTCATCTGGAAATTCCTCCATGAAGCTGTCAAAACCAAAACCTGGGGAACTCTTAGAAGCAACGACACAAGCTGCGCCTTTTGTGGCAACGAACCGGAGACATAGAATCATCTCTTCCTTCAATGTCCATTTGCACGGGCGGTCTGGCTGCAAGCCCAAATAGGCCTAAAACTAGAAGCCTTCTTGCAATCAAAATCAAGAGACATTCTGACATGGTGGTTAACCTACAACAAAGACACCATCAGGCAAGAAGACTGCAAACACTATCAGGCATACATCATTTCTATCATCCGAGCAATGTGGGATACTAGAAATGTAGCAATCTTCACAAACAACAAACCGACCCCATTGACTGTTCTTAGAAGAGCCAACCAGTACTACAAGTTGCAATATGCTGATCCCCTTGAACAGCAAACCCCAGGTCAGGAGCTGAACGTAATTAATCTTCTTGATGTGCATGAAGATATTATATTGGTTGATGGATCCTGGGATCCAAACACTATGGATGCCTCTACATGATTTTATTTTGTTTCTCATACTATAAATCACCTTTTTTGCAGAAGGACAACCATGTCTGGCCGCTTCCTCAACAGTAGCGGAAATGTGGGCAATTGCAAGAGGGCTAAGATATCTTCTTCAGCAGAACATTACCACAGTGGCCCTCCTCTCAGATGCTAAAGCAAGCCTCTCTTCTCTAAAAGGAACCAGAGCAAACATGAACGGAAATGCCCAGGCCTTACAAGAACATATCAGACATCTGCTCTCTTTTTTTGTCAATATCAAACTGATTTTTGTTAGTAGATCTGTGGCCATGAAAACATTAATACCTACTTTTGACAGTTGTCAAAATATTTGTCAAGTATTCATTTAAGGTGGTTAGTTTATTGTACCTACTAGATCCGGTTCCCCCATAGGGACAGACAATCTGAACTCTCACCCAGCAGCCGTGGTTTTCTATCCCCTAGGAACAGATAACGTGTCATTTGTATGCGTGTGTGTTTTTCTTCAATATTTTTGTTTTCTTCGACTGTGGTCTTGGCCAAAAAAGACTGAAAGAGTTTGATAAGGATATCTTTGGACCTGATTTGATTCACTTCTCTCCTGTTCTTTTCTGTTATGTTAAGGATTCATGAAACCATAGTTTTGAAAAATGGACCGGACCGATTGACCCGAGAGTTTTAATTTTCTATTTTTTAGAACGGGCTGTTCATTTGAAGCAGATGCTCAGCCCGTTTGACTTAAGAACCAATGGCCAAAACGTTTCCATCTCAGATACGATTTTCAAAGCCTTGCATGAGCATGAAACAATGAAGTTCATATATTGGCTTTTCTTGGTCGGGCAACATGCTGGTAATTAAAAGCTAAATCAAGTTCAACTGTCCGGTCCCCCTGTGGCCCTGAAACAAGACCCGACCCGTTGATTGCTCTAATCGACTTATTAAGCATCAAATGATCTCAAAATTTATAGTTCAAGTTCTAAACCCGCTTTCGGCAGTTACCCAGTTGGTTCCTCTTGGTCTCTCTCAGCCAAAACTCAAGAAGGCCACGAGGAAGGTCGTTGCAGGGGGTCGAATGGTCATGCTTTTGCCACGAACCCGTCTCTCAACCATCATTCTGGTACCTTCGACGTTGCAGTTTCAGCTTCGGTCTTCAGTGCCTCGTCTCTTTCTTTACAAGCTTGATTCATCCATGCCTGAACTCGCACCAGGTAAATGATATATGCCCATTAAGTCTTTCTTCTTACTTTCTGCTCATTTTCTTCAGGAATGCTTTCTTCATACCGAAAGAATCAAGGTTTTTTCTTATAAACCCTCAATTTAGCCTTTCGCTCAAGTTTTTTTTTTTGATGTCCGATAAATTGGTTCTGAAGGTAAAGTGGAGATGGATCAACTCAGAGAACAGAACCAGAAGGAGTCAACCGACTCTAAGGATTCAAAACGGCTTTCAGGTCACATAATCCCTCACATTCTCAACTTGTAAGTCTTTCTACAACTTCAAGAGCTTAAATTCTTCACCTGACCCACCAGCCTCAGAAACGGCTTCTGTTGTTCAATAAAATTCATCAGAAGCCACTTCAGTCTCGGCAAAACAAGCCCAGTACTAGCTACAAGAACCCACCAAGTTTAAACAGTTTGATTCGTTATGACTCGTCCGAGTGTGCTCATACTTGTTTGTCTCTGTAATTTGAACTTTGAAGTAGTTATATTTTCATGGGCAGGTTATTCAAGGTTGCAACTGCTACATTTCTAGGGTTTCTATTATTGACTCATTTAGAATTTAGCCTGTATTTGATTTCTAGTATATTTCTATTACGAATTCATGACTAGCCATGAAATCTCAACTCCATGGTATTAGCTCTGATATAGGAGGTTGACACAGTAAATTCATTACATGGTGCTGATATACAAGGGATTTTTATTTGATGTCTGGCTTCTGTAAATGCTCATGGAGATTAATCCCTGTTTCTGTTCATGGTTTTTGTGACTTCTATCCTCACTCTTTTAGATATGGATCTTCTGCAACACCCCGGGACTTTGAAATCTATGCTCCAAATGCAACTTTCGAGGACCCACTTATGTGTGCCCATGGGTATGTCCATGCGATTCTTTCTCTAACAAAATAAGGTCCAGGAGTTACGAAACAGAATGCAAAATTGTATGTAAATAGTCTGTACATCAGGACAGAGGAACAAATATTTGATGGGTATTACCCAGGAGCAAGGGCCCATACAGGGCATATCTATCGTATCTTTGAGTGCAGATACACCTGTTTACAGGTGTTTTCAGGAACTCCGTTTTTATTAAATAATATATAAAATTAAACTTAAAACTGAAATTAAAAAAAAAAAACTAAAAAGAAGGTGCATCAGTTAAAGTTCCCATACACCTCTGCCGATACAGAGAGGTGTATGGATACTTTGAACCTTGCACAGGAGCTGTAGGCTACAAACCTACTTGATCTAATGATCGTTGGCATCTGGTCAAACGTGCTCCTTTGTTGATTTTCTTGGGTATTAATAGGTAGAATAATCTATTTTAGGATAGGTCATGCTCCTCCAATGTAATAGTTTATGCATCTAGGCCATTTTTGGCTATGACTATGTTCTACAACAAAATCCATCTTTACATGTCATCTCTTTGAAATCTATAGATTAATATTCAAATGTAGTAGCATTTCCAGGTGAATATTTCTTCCTTGACTCTAAGATGGCTGTTTTGCCTATGGGTTTGACTTGAAACTTACATTGCTCACAGGGTGAACCAGATCAAATCTGCATTCTATTCCGTTTCAAAGGTTGTGTGGACTTCACCATATAACCTCTTTATGCTTTGATTTTGTTCAGAATACCTTTTCAAGTTGTTTTCGTGATGATTCCTACTCTGATACCTTCCCCCTCCTCTCTATTTAGCTTAATCATTTAGAACAAATTTTCTTGGTTTGCATTATAGTGATTACCTGCCTTTCCAGTCCAACTCCTATGATTGCTTCGGGCTTGTCTTGGTTTGAAAGACAGGGCTTTGCTTCTTGTCTTGTCAATCAAACTCCCATGATCATAAGATGGACAATAAATGGAACTTTTCCTATGATTGTAGGAGTTGATTGCTCACATTTGTGGTACTTACCCATCTGCAGCCATGGGTAGTTCCTGTAGCTATTTGGATTCTTATGATCAACCTGTACCATAAACCTTAATACTACTATAATGTTCCATTGATTTCCTCGTACAGGTAAACAAAACTCTGATTTCTCATCTTCCCTTTCAGGTCTTCAGTGAATCAAAAATTGTGGATTATAGCATAGAAGAAAACGTAGTTGCACCTGGGAAAGGAGAGGTAAGATTTCTCAATAGCAGATAGCCAGATACCATAGGAATTATTAATGTCTACGCTGTTCTTTCCATTTGTTTTCCTTCAGCACTTCATTTATTACTTCCAACCTTTGTATTGAACCTTTAGGTACTAATTGACAACAAACAACATTACAAGTTCTTGGGGAAGGACTTAGATGTGATTTCACTAATCAAGCTACGTATCGAAGAAGGGAAAGTGGTCCGCCATGAAGATTGGTATGTATATTGCCTTAGAATGCTCTTTCTTAAGTAGTTTATTTAGCCTTAATTGGATAAAGAAAAGAAAATGTCCTTCAAGATTGAATGCAATTCTTTTATTTAAAGTAGAACCCTAAGATGCAGTAGACCCATGTAGTTGGGAGTGGGACAAGACTTTGCTGAAAAGAGTGGAGAACCCCAAGATGCAATCTCATTTACTGCCTTATTGTTGGGATAGTTATGTAAACCACAAAACCAGATTTGGATTTCGTGATTTCATCAAAACCAGATTTCAGTTGTTATCCTTCTTTACTTCTCCGATTGAAATCTCTGTTTTAATTATTTCTGTATTGAACTGCATCTGTGAGAAATGTAAAACCAAATTCTCTGACATGTGTACAGGTGGGACAAGAAACCACTTTGGAACAGAGACACTGTTAAACTTCCATTAGTTGGTCGAGTTTTAGAAATGACCCGCAGGGGATCAATGCTAGCAACTCATGTTATGATGGGATTTGGAAAGGATCCAAGTCTGTAACTGTTTTATCATGTGTCAATGAGACATGGACGAGTGATGTTTCTCACTAAGTTTGTAATTATACTTTTCTTTCGTTAGTTTGTCTTCTCATCTTTCAAAAATAATAGTGAAAGTAAACTTGTAATGGATGCAATGCACTAATTTGAAGATAGGTCCTTCCTCCATTCCCACTTCTCAGATCAAAGGACTATCAAGAGCTGTCTAAGGGCCAATACCCAATATTAGTCCTGGTTTTGTGGCATTTTTCTGGGTCTTGGGAGGGGTGGAATAGTACAATTATTTCTATTTGTGTTATGAACGCACACGAGTTGATGATTTTTAACTTCTTGTGTCTAGGATTGAATGAATTGAATTGTATTTATATACAAAGCTAATTTGAAATAACAATATGCGGCAATTTACAGATATAATATAGTTAAATTTAAGGCAAATCTATGGTGAATCTGTTGCATAGTGTCCATAGTGTAGCAAAAGGCATCATTGGTCGAACATGATGGTACGAGACCGGATCTGCTCCTCACACCTGGCGCCTCACACGCACATCCTACCATGCATTGGGAACATCTCCCACACTTATTGGTTATTATTCATGGGAGGTGCTCCCAATGCACAGTGGATGTGCCTGTGAGGCGCCCGTTTGTGAGGAACAGATCCCGCTTCTGATGGTATGTATACATTGTTAAGCATGTCAAACATGAAAACATATTTTTTGAAAAGTAAACTAATGAAAAATAAGTAGATTTTAACATGATTGGTAGAGATTTGGATTGGGAGTTCACATCTGCGCCCCATAACGTCCCACAGAACATCCCCGCCATGTACTGAGAACATTTCCCGATGATGTACCAAAAATGATGATGTCATCATTGAGAGGTGTTCTCAATACACGGTGGGGATGTGCTGTAAGACGTTATGGGGTGTTCCCTTGTGGGGCGCAGATCTAAATTCTTAACTGCAACCAATTATAATGAATGCACGGTAGTTGAAAGTCGAAAATAAAATGGATACATCCATTTTTATTATTTCACTTTTCACAAAGTGTACTTTAATGTTTAACGTGTAACCAATATCAACGAATGCATCGTAGTTGGTGGAGCTTTGGATTTAAGCGAGTTTAACACCTTCAAGTAAGCTTGTTTGCTTTATGTTTATCAGCACAAAAATCACATGGATACGACTTTTTTCTCATGACTCTATCTGACATCCCTCTCAAATGATGAAACTAAAATGGGCACAACAATCATACACATTGCCGAGGCGAAAGCTAAGGGTTTTGGAAAATATTTGGTTTCTACTTGGTTGGAGGATATGCCCTCCATTAAATACATTTTATACCTTAATTTTAAGGTTCGGGATTAGGATTTATGGTTTAAGGTTCTGAGTTGTTTTAGAGTTTAAGATTATGGTTTAGGGCTTAATTAGGATTTAAGTTTAAGTGTGAAAACCAAGAGGTAGGAGTGAAATAAAGCACCAACCATGATAGAAGCGAAGCCTAAGGTCTTTACGATTAGGCTGTATTTGGTTTGAAAGAAGAAACAAGAAACTTGTACAAAACTTGTATAGGTTTCCCTTCCTTTCCTTCAAACCAAATGCAGCCTTAGTGGCCACATTTGTGATTTGATTATGAGCTTGAAATAAACTGAAAAAGTGACTTGGGTACAACTTGTTTGGGCATAAAGCAATAATCACTTGGCATGAGCATGAACAACTCCGAGGCCCCCACAAAATCACAACAAAGAACGGAAGCATCAAAGGAATAAATATGTTTTCATTTAATGAAAATTAAAATATTAATTAATATTATAAAATTTGTAAGATATATCATGTGCAAATTTATAAATTTTAAGTTGTAAGGTAATTATTCCAATATTAATATTTTACTTGTATAAATTTTTGAGATTAAAATCATCTTTTGATGTAAATATATTTTTTTGGGTACTCGTTTTGATGTAAGTATAGAATTGATAAGATTATCTATTCCATTTATTTATAAAATACTAATTTTAAATATTATTTATTTTAATTTTTCATTGGGGTTGTTAAACATAAATACTGATTATTTATTTGGATAGATATTAACAAAAAATGTGTTATTTCGTTAAATATCATAATGCAGGCATGGCCAAGTTGTTTGATAGAGAGTTTAAATTCCGAGTTGAGATCTTGCTATTAGCAGCATTTGCCTTTTTAATCAAAGACGTTGTGTATCAATTTTTATCGGTGCGCATCAAAAGATATAATGCGATACGGGCCGATACACACTCGTAGTGGTCCGATACGTGTGATTTACAAGATATGTTTCTATTCGTAATGTATCTTGTATTGCCCTAATCCGATACTGATACAATACGCCTCGTATCGGACGTATCATATCGATATTTAAATCCTTGGTGCCACTTTGGTCTTTGAACTGCCATTAACCACCTATTAACCCCGTTAAATGGCATTTAAAAAGGGACAAATACCCTTCAAGTGTCATTTAATTCTCTTTATCAACCATCCAAATGTTGATAAAAAATGAACAATCCCAAATCCTTGCCTCATCTATTCAAGAAAGTTGGGGTCATGTCCGGATTGGTTAATGGAAAATACTGGGTTGACACGCTTTGAAAGTTTGGGGACCAAAGTGGCACTAGGCCCAAAGTACAGAGTACTAATCGAAAATTTTTCCCTTTTTAAAAATTCAATAAAAAAGAAAGATGAATAATTTAGGGAGCTTGGATCTACTGTTCACACGAATGTCTTTAGGCATTGTCTATCTCCTCCAAGGGGTGATCATTTTCACCCTGGCCTACCTGTAATTCATATGATATATATATTCTCGAATTTTCACAAGACATTTTCTACCCTCTTATCTAAGCATATAGTGGGCACAAACAGGACATATGCATCCTTCACTCTCACTTCATAAACCACCCACTTATAATCGTTCAAAAAACTGCTCACTTATAATCGTTTAGAAACTGACACGTGCAAATGCACATACATGGAGTCGAAACTGGTCGACTATATGCCTTGGATCGAACTTTTCCAATCGGTTTCTCTCTCAGAACTGAGAAAGAAGACCTTATTTCCCACAAAGTCTCCCACTACTATGTTTCATTTGAGAAAGAAGACTTAGAATCTAATCGACTTCTACGAATTCATTTTCCACTTCGCCTTAAATCTAATCAACTTTTGCATTTTTTAGGATTTCATCTCCCACTTTGCCCTAAATCTAATCAGTATTTGCATGAATTTATCTCTCACTCCACCCTATATCTAATCCACTTATGCTTTTGCATGAAATCACTTCCCACTAACTCCAACGAAAGAAGGTTTTTATTCCCATAACCTCGAAGGTTCTTCAGTCACGATTGGGGAGTTTGGTTACATTTGGAAATCTATATAAATGGATGTTGTGATTCCCTTGGAGTACGCATAACTCCAACAGAGCAACCAGAGGAGTCTTTTTTCAAAGAGGAAAGCAATAGGAGGATTGATTATTCGAATAGGAGAGCAACCGGAGGAGAGCAACTTGACGAGAGCAACTGGGGAATCTATAATGGTAATGTTTACTATTAATGTCCTTAGTTTTCATTATTGTCAGTTGTTCATGTAATTACAACATTTAGATTTATCAAGCAAATTGAAAACAGCAGGTTCCATTTTCTATTCAATGTATTGTAATTTATTTTAAGTGTTACAGCATTTAGATTTATTAATCAAATCTAAGGAGAGCAACCCGTTTGCACACCTGGCAATATTCAGGCCCAGTTTGGTTCATGGGAATAGCGGTCAGGAACCATGATATAAAAACACAATACATTAATAATTTTGGTATTAATTAATGTACATTAATAAATTGGTTCATGTGCATAGGCCCATTTTAGTTCATTAGTTATATAGAGAGGATGGAAATTAGATCTTGGGACATATCATCCAATAATTGGATAAAAAACCATAATAATTGAAAAGTTGAGATGATTTGTTTTGGAGAGGATACAAATCTTAATGAGAGGGTATTTTCATGCTATTGCAATGTTTATGGTACTAAAAATTTTAATTCCCATATTTATTATCTCTTGGAGTTTATTTTAACTTCCAATAAAACCTTCTTAATCATATCATTTGAATACTGTATCGTTATGTTATTCAAAGATTTAGGATTGTCTCTACTACACGGTTTTGATATATTAATATAACTAGAATAGTGTTAAATAATTAATTTTCTTAGCCTCACCTTTTTTTTTTTTTTTATTTTTCATTTAGCACACAAATAGAAATACTAAACCCGATGAATATCTCATTTAAGAACGTACTTAATGAGTTCTGCTCCAAATTGCACATGTCCCGTCTCATATTCTTAGTTGAAGATGTGGGCAAGGATTTCAAGGCTTCTATTCTTATAACAATCTGAAATTTTATGGAAAGGGATCTACTTCTAAAAAGGAGACGGAATAAGATGCTGCTAAGAAGGCAGTGAAAAAAATAGTTGAATACTTCAACATGAAAATAGATGATGTAAACTATGAAGAGTTGTAGTACTATATGCATAAGTGCTCAAAGTTAGAAATGTACATTTACGATTTGAAATCGGAGTTGTGGGAAATGAATGCACCCGAAGAGGAAGAATATTTAGTTGGAGGGAACTAGTTTTTAGTGGTTTTTCTTGTGTTTGGTTTATCAATGATGTTAAAGTCAGTGGTAGTTTTTAGTGCATGTTTAAAGTTTTATTAACAAGATTGCTCATGTTCTAGGACAATATATGATAGAATTTAGATTTATCATGTTATTTTTAGATAATGAAGTGTCTCTAAATTACTAAATTTGTCGTATTTGGATCCATTATCTGTGATGATGAATGGAGTATATAATGATTTCATAAATTACTGAATGAAACATAAAAAGATTGTATATTCACCACCTGAATTCTTTATACAACTTGTGGATAGGTCGATAGTGATTCAATATATGCAAATATATCAGAAAATAGGTTGGTTCTCTTCGATGTAAATATTGAATGAAGTGACAACCACATGTGGGTTGTCTTTATTTAATATGTAAATATATTTATTGTTAACTCCTATGTAAATATTCATTCAGTAGATTAATGTTAATATATGATGTAAATATATTGTCACTTCATTGTAAATATAAATATATATATATATATATATATATATATATA